TTACTAATCAGGAGCCAACATTATCTCACTGGTACGGCACCCTCGTTGGATTCCTTGGACCATATAGAGCTTTCAAGGGCAAAGAATCCGAGTGCCAGCAACAAACAACTGTACATCATGCCAAATATAGGGGCCTGACTAATGAAAACAATATGAACATAATAAGTGCTCAAGAGTAATTGCTCTTGGTAAGTATTCAAGCATCTATTGCTATGTTAGAGTGCGGCTATGGCATATGTAATCCCTGTTCTGTTGCCACGCCCGGGAAGGCGCGCATGTCCGCAAGTTGCTCCAGGAACGTGGCTCAGGCAGAAGGAAATAATGAAACTCAACCGTGATCGGTGGCACAGGGGCTTGAACATCGACTGCGGGGATTGATCTCCAGGGCTGTTTCATCAAATAAATAGCCTCGGCAAAAACCACAAGTTTGGCTTTGACATGGTTGGGCTACACGCTGGTAAAGTTCCAAACCCTAAGCCCCATAAGCCCTATANNTATACCCTAAACCCGAAGCCCTACACACCCTAATCCTTGAACCTTGAACCTGCATCCCTAAAGCCTACAAATCGGATCCCTAGAGCTCCTGGTCATGCAAGCGTTCATGACGAGAAGGGCTGAGGGTTCAACGATTAGGGCTAAGGGCTTATGGTTTAGGGATTGAGGGCTTAGGGTTTGGGATTTTATGGTTTGGGATTTAGGGCTTAGGGTTTGGGATTTAGGGTTTAGGGTTTGGGATTTAGGGTTTGTAGGGTTTGGGATTTTGGGTTTAGGGTTTGGGATTTAGGGCTTAGGGTTTGGGATTTAGGGTTTCGGGTCTAGCTAGGGTTTAGGGTTTAGGGATTTAGGTATTATAGGGTTTGTAGGGTTTATACGGATCAGTATAAGCATAATGTCTGGCGTTCCGTCAGGGCCTTCAAACTTTCTGCAGCATTGCCATGAATGTAGGGGCCTTAACAATCAGAATAGGGCGCTGGGTGTGTATTGTTTAGGGTTTAGGGTTTAGGGGATTTATGTACACGTATCACATGAAGCTCTAAGGAAGATTCTCGGTACGTATTTTTACGTTCACAGACGCCTATATTGAATATTACGTCCTCCCTAGCGGAAAACTCTATATGCTTGTCTAACGAAGAGTATTGGGAGGAATCCTATATCGGTTCTATGCAGCTTATTTGCTCCTGCCTGTTTTAAAGGCGTGGGGAACTCGGGGGCCTAGCTGGTTTAGGGTTTAGGGTTTAGGGTAGGCCTAGCTGGTTTCCCTCTCTGTATTTATATGTGTCGAGCATAAATCCGAAAGCTTTGCTCACCGAAACCCTGAAGCCCTCAACGATGACCTTAAAAACAAAAAACTCTCAACCCAAAAACCCGAAGCCGCAAGACTCAACCCTACACCATGCAGCCCCCAAAAGCCTCCAAGCCCTAAAGCCCTAAGCCCAAGTTGATCTGTTTCTGAGCTTCCTGGCGACGGCGACGATAGGAGTCTGGCTTCCTTTCCATGAGCAGATTCAGGGAAAAGGGTTGAGGATTCTGGCTTAGGGATTAGGGTTAAAGGGTTTAGGATTAGCGTCTACTAAGATTTCGGATGAGACTTTAGGTTCAAGATTTAGGTTCGCAGGAGGCTTAGGGTTTGGAATTCCAGATTAACTAGGGTTTCAGGCTTTCAAGGCCGTTTTCAGGATATCAGGGCTGTGCGGTTTGGGAGTGGGCTTCCCTTCCAGGAGCTTCGATGAGGGCATTTGGAAAAAAGGTGGAGGGCCTAGGAGTCTGAGGCCGACCTAGGATTTCGCGCTTCCAAATGCGACATGTCACACCCACGCTGCTTGTTGAGGATTTGTAAGGGTTATCAGGGTTTTCAGAGACCTCCTTGCCACTTCTTATCGCAAGCTGTACACTGCTTGAAACTTGCCTGCTCCGATGCGATCTGAAAAGCCCCAGCTTCCGCACTTACAGCCGATGGTAGGCCCTCTCTGACCCGCCATCTTGCGGGCTCACAAGACTGTCGACTCTACTGGGCGTCTCTTGCAGACATGGCCCACCGATCAAGCACTTCCGAAGAAAATCGTACAACGGGGACAATGAAGAGAGGCACACCTGCGAGGCTTATCTTCTTGCCAGATTGAAAGGAGTAAGGCTCGCCAAGGTTCTGGGGTTTAAAATCAAGTGCCTTCAGAGGGCTCTCACAAGTGCTCGAGGCTTAAATAAAGCCTTAGAGAGGTTCTGTAAGGGTTTATAATTTTCCAAGTACCGAAACTTACGTACACCCCAGGTACTATATACCAACACACCTAATGACCCTACGGGTTAGGGATAAACTAATTAAGATCAATGTGCGCCAAAGGGCTTAGCGACTGAAAGCCTGCAATGTTTATTGACATATTGATGATGAAGGGTGAAGGCATTTTAGAGTTGAGTTGCTTCGCTTTATGGGCGACGGGATTTAACCCTAAATTCTAAAGCTGCGGAATCTGTGCAGAAGAACGGCAGATCTTCCTTACGGAACTTTGGTATTTCGTTTAGGGTTCAAGGCTTAGGGTTTCAGCCCAGCAGAAGCCCCCCCCTAGAGCGCACCTGAAGACTTCCGTGCGGCAAGCCAACATTCTTCGAATGGCTCCTTTCCAGACCGGGGAGCTAAGGCGGCTGGGGCAAATACTTGGTATTACCAATACTGTTTTGGGGGTTCCTTATTATGATTCTAGTAGAATGGGCCCCAAGGCTCCATTCCAATTATTAAGGCCGCTATATTAGTTCAGGTTTACGGCTTGAGGCTGGTTGAGGGTTGATAAGGTTGAAAGTTGAGGGCAGGTGTAGAATCTATTGTACAATAATAAGCAGTTCATTCAATAAACACGATAAGGGGAGATCATCACAGTTTCTTACCCCGAAACGTCTGAAAATCGTGTATCGGAGAAGGAAGTAGTACTGCAAGAGCAGGCCACAGTGCTCAGGCCCGGTTTAGAGTTTAGAGGGAGTTTCGAGTTTGCAGAATACTGAATACGGGCCTAGTAGCCACGAACCTGAGGCCCGATAAACCGCGGACAACACCATGCTCAACGATGTCGAAATCGCAGATGCCCTGCCAGGTGACCGAGGAGGCACGACCCGAAGCGCTGGATGCAGCCTTGGTAGACATCTGCTCCTCGAGTCCCTCGGCGTGCCCATTCTTGACCAGGAGCGATGCACGATGCAGGGATGTGGCGGCGCATCCTGGAGGGCATTTGCAACCTCAAACTCCGGCATTGGCGAGTCGTCCAACAAGTCCCGCTGTCGGACGGTCTTCACGGCATACAGCCTGGCCAAGGACGGGGGAAGGCTCCGGAGTCAACGTCGGGCCCTCCATTGGATTGGCCACGACTCTGCAGGCCAAGGTTGAAAGGTTTCCAGACATCCTGAATGCCCTGGGGTAATCTTGTGACCTTCAAACCGCAACTGAACAAACCCAAGAGCCCCCCTGTCATGCTCAAGATGGTTTAGGGTTTAGGATTTAGGGTTATGCACATTGAATGACTTGCAACGGAACCACACAACACCTGCATTCAAGTATGATCTAATGATCTAAGCACTCTCCCACAACTCTCGCCGCAAAGACTCCGGTAAAGGAACCCTCAAAAAGGAACTCCATCCAACTGAAGGAGCCCTACCACCGAAACCCCGCAGCACCCCATAGAACACTGCAGAACCCTATAGTTTTTGAAGCCTCTAGAACCTCATGACACCCTTCTACAAGTAACCTCAATAATTACCTATAGTATTTTGGGGGGGTGCCTTGTTAGAATTCTGGTATAACGGGCCCCAAAACCCGATTCTAAACCCTAAACCCTACAAAC